AAGTGCATAACCCAACTTCACATCAGTCAAATCCAATCATCTAATCTGCGAAGGTGAACACAGCAAGCCCGAAGCATCCGACCCAATCACAGAAAGATTGCATACTGTACACAGCTGCCCCTGCTGAGAAATAACAAAGTGGGTCCCACAGTACGGGCACGTCAAATCCTTCTGCCCCTTGTAAATCGGGACATACGTGGCCCCACACACGACAAACGGGTTCCTAAAGTCATAGTTCAGCTGGGTTGCATCCTTCATGTTCTTCTCAGCTGCCTGTAGCACCTGGCGAGCCGTCCTCGCCTGGCTCTCAACGCTCGGGTTCGTCTCCAGCAGCCTCCTAGCGAAATTAGCAGCCGTGCTCAGGTTCTGCGCTTTAAAGCAAACGGTCATTGCATTCACTAATGCAAGCCTCGTGTGTGGAAGCTGGAGATTGCAGTGTGTAAAGTAAGCCGCAAGCTCCTGTTGACGAACAGGATTGTCTTTTAATTCCCTCCTCTTGAGTTCCATCTGCAAACCCAGAACATACTCTCTCACAATCACAATCAGCTCCTTCACCTCATCTACCTCCCTACGGCTCTCGACCACGATCAGCGGTATTGTGTAGAGAATGGACTGAAAATTCTTCAGGGCCTCGGAGAATTTCCCGGCAGTCGTAGCCTTGTAACCGGCTTTGAGCTTCTCCTCCAGCTGCGAGAATTTGAAGATGAGGGCCGGGGGCCCGCGGACGTTCGGGCTCGCTGACTCACTCCAGCCCCTTTCGATCGCGACCGAGATAACAGGGGAAGAGGCGAAAGCACGTAGATAGGTGTGGCTGCCCACATGTAGGTCTACGAATTGAGATTTCAAAGGGGCGAAATTTTTTATGCCCAGCTGGCGGGTAAGAAGGCGCATGGCCGTATCGAAGTTTCCAGCGGCGGCGTGTTCGGCAGCAATTGACGAGCGCTGAACCCAGATTTGGCTTACGGGCATGCCTACAGTGGGAACCACGAAAACAGACGAAAGAGAACTGCTATCCACCTTATTAGTCGGTGTCTCGGCTGGAAGGTCCAGGTCCTCGAGGTCCCACCCACCCTCCTCCTCATCCCCATGCGGGGTGAGCTCATCAACCGCCACACTGATGTCACCATTCTGAATGTTGTCCACGTCAGCAATGTCCAGGCCCTCGCCCCAGTCAGCGTCGGCTGCATCGTCGTAGTAGTCTTCTTCGGTGGGTCCCCTGGCCACCTCATCGAGGCCGCCCTCGAATATTCCCTTGCTGACCATCAGAAGGGGCCAATCCCCCGCGCATAGCACTGGGCTTGGAGGTATCAGGAGAGATGCTCGTTTCCCCTCAGGAAAAGAAGGAACATTATCACCCAGTTCAGATGCCAGACGCTCGGCAGTTTCGTGTAGGCCATGAACTGAGGCGGTGATATATGCGAGGGGGAGGTGGCCCGCGTTCTCGAGAATCTTTACGCGCTCACGAACATCGCCGAGATACAAAGCGTCATGAAACTGGCCCATGACGTCATTCTTGACCTCGGCGATTTTCATCATCTTCGAGAGTTTATCGAGATTTCCGGTTATGAGGTAATGGAAGGAGAGTCGCTCAAAGTTTTTGGTTTTTTGATAAGCATACTCGACGATGCCGGCATTCCCTTGGCGGAGGGCCTCCACGCCCAGCCTGTACCAGTGGTCCTTCTCGTCTATTTTCTTGGCAGACTCGAGTGCTTTCTCAATGTTACCGCTCTCGAGGGCGAGGTTGAATCGAGTACGCTCGTCCTTGACGAAATAAAGGGCCACCTGCGGGAAGCCCTTCTGCTGCAGATAAGCAATCATGGCCTGCCCACAGAGCTCTGAGTTTTTTATCATGCTCATGACCTGGTCATACCTCTTCTTTAGCAGTGACAGCTTGAAGACGTACTCGGTGGGGTCGATGATGATGGGGCGATTCTTTCCTTCTCTGTCCAGGCAAAAGATCGTGCTCCCATATATCTTGGTGATGTACACTGGGACATCCAGAGTCTTGATAATCCCATTGTCCCCATTGGGAAGACAGTACTTGATGTGAGTCAGGGTCGTGTAAATAAACACGCCATTATCCTGCCAGCCCCCGCTCTTGACACGGATAGTCTCGTGAAGCGTACATCGGTGGGCAAGTTTCTTATCAGCTATAACGATCGAGTGTTTGCTGAGTAAAGCGACACTCTCCATATCCAGGGACCAGACCACGTACCGAATGAAAGTTGTCTGAATCTCCCCGAGGACAATCCTCTGCTGGAGATCAAAGATGACAACCCTGTCCTCAGACCTGCACAGCAGATTCCCAGTGCCCGCGTAGAATATGGCATCGGTACCGATAGGAAGAGGACTCTTTTTCACTATTTCATTTTTCAGGTTCTTGACCAGTACATTGTTGGTGCTCTTCTCTAGCACGGCAAACCTGTTTCGAGCAATAAAGACTGCTGAGCTCCCAATGCCTCTTTTTGCGTCCTGAACCGTATCTCCTCTGCCATAGCTATCTTTGGGGATTATATAGAGCTCATATGATCCCCCATCGATGTCCGAGCATATCAAGACAGCATTCTCCGTTGGACTGTAAGAGAGAGATCGAGGCCCCTGATTCAAGCCATTAGAACCAGGACGACGGATGGGTATGAGCTGAATGTCTTTCTGGGAAGAATACTCAAAGGAACGGAGGAACCTGTCCTTGACATAAAAGAGAGAATCGCCGCTAACAGAAAAGGCGGGACGCTCTCTCTCCAGCTTAAAAACAATCATGCCACTATCATGACCTGCAGCAAGAAGATTCATCTCAGGATGAGCTGCAAGGATCCAGAACCTGTCGTGCTCCCTACGGAAAGTTTGAAGGCCAGTTCTTTTCGTGGCATCCCAGACTCGAATGCTCTTGTCTTCTGAGTTTGAGACAATGATGTCCTGTCTCGCATGGAACAGAACACATGACACGTTGTTCATGTGACCTCTCAATGTGTCCACCTCCCAAGCCTTTGTATCTGACACATAACCAAATAAAAGAATTAGATATCCAATTACATTACCAATATATAGACACCCATCATGGGACGATATAAGTAACTGCTAGATAGATATTCGTCCGATAGTTTCAAGCAAATATGTAGTCAGCACCTATACTGAAATAGACAACAGAATCACTTAACAAANNNAATTAAATAAAAAAACAGAGCCTACCCTTCTCCTTCAGTATCTTTCATCAAATGGATGGTATGCCAATTAGTTAACCAAACCCAAGAAAACAAATACGTGATTGCTCAAAACAAACACAATAAAAATTACAATGTTTAACGTGTTATGAACAGAAGGAACATTGAGAAAACATGTCAACGCAGCAATATTTTTCAGAAAATCCATAGGAATTTAATATAAAACCTATTGAATCCCACTCATTGTGGCCCAACATTTCTACGACATTTAAAAGGTTATCTCCTTGTTCCAGTAACAAATAACCAGCTATACCAAATGCAGATTTATCACACAACCTTCCAAGACAACATAACTAATCTTCCAAAAGAATAATATTTAGTAAATATGCTCCTGAAAGAAATAAAATATACTGCTTCATACCATTCATGCGCCAGATTTTAACTTGGCGGTCATCTGCTCCAGAAACAATCAAAGGGAGAGTCGGATGGAATGAAGCCCAGTTAACACCTCGATCATGGCCTTCCAATACATACTTCACAACAGCATCAACCCCACCAAAAAAATCTGTGTTCATTTGAGACAATCGCAAAATGTCATCAGCAGGGGATACAGTTTTCTTTCTCAAAGCGCCAATGTCCCAAACACGCACAGTCTGATCCAAAGAGGCTGAAACTACAAGGTCTTCTTTGGGGTGAAATGAGGCACACATAACATAATGGTTGTGCCCGGTCAATACAGAAATGCAAGTTCGAGATTGCCAGTTCCATATTCTAATTGTTTGATCATCACTAGCACTTACAATCCAAGGATATTCTTGATGAAACTGAACTGTCCGGATGTAATCAAGATGACCAAGAAGAGTAAACAGACATCTGTGCAGTTTGTAATTCCACACCTTGATTTTGTAATCATCACCTGCCAAAAACAATGTTTACAATACATAATATCAATTGCCTAAACTAATAATGAAAAAGATATTCTGCCAGGGAACAATATACATGTGTATGTCACTACATATATACACATCATGATATACAAAGAAAAAGAGTAACAAATTATTCGTCCACCACTAAAGCCTCTTCAAACTATAAAGTCCAGTCCAGTGGAGGCTGAAAGTTTCAAGTTGATAACTAGAGTCCACCTGATCCCGTGCCAAAAGAACCAACTGCAGAATGAAATCTGTCACTTTTCTACAGAAAAACTATACAGGCCTCCAAGACAAGAGATACAAAGCCCAAATATAACATGAACACACTTAGGACCTCTTCGGTTGAAAGCTCAAAATACGAACAAATATCAACATGATAGCAGGACTTCCGTAATAAATAAACGTTCATATCAGTGCTTATGTAATATTTGCCTTGCCGAGAAAATTTATAACCAATACAGAAAAGCAAATTGGCATGTCAGTGATACTTAAGGTCAACAGATGAACGTTGCAAAGGGTCACAAACAATTTAAAACAGAAAACAGATTGTTACCACTGGACCAAATGATCCTAATCATAATCACAAACTACATAGCCAAACAGCAAATCGCAAATCCAGCTGACTGATCGATCAAGCCATCAATAATAAACATCAGATCCAGTTAATAAAACGCCACAAACACGCCAGAGAACTCCTAATCACCCAAAAACAAGCTGAGATCACAATGCAAACAATTTGAGTAGCATTCCACAAATAAATCACACCCTCCAGATTAAAAAAGAGGCTGACGAACGCCAGAGTACTTGAATCACACAAAAAACAAGCCGAGATCACAATGCAAACAAATTCATTAGCATTCCACAAATAAATCACACCTCCAGATACAAAAAGGGGCTGTGATTTATGAAAATGAACCCCTCGAACAGGCCCATCGTGCTCGTCAAACCGATCAATGAGAGTGCCCATGCGATAATCCCAGAGCTGGATCACGCCACTGTGAAGACTCGCCAGGATCCATGGCCTCTTGCTATGGAAACTCAGTCCTTTCACTCTATTGCTCTTCGTCTCAAACTTCGTCAACATTTTCTACAGCTATTTTCCCCAAAAATCACACAATCTGTTTAAAAAAACCAAGAGTACAACACAAAAGTGAGATCTGGTTTCGATCCCAAAAAGAAAAACAAAAAAAAAAAGAAAAAGAAGTAGTGCGAAACCCTAATCAATGTCTTCGATCTTCACCTGATGCAGATCTGTGAAGAATTCGGGGATATTTAAGCCGGATTGCGGTGCACAAAGTGTGATATATGTGGATTTGTAATGATGGACAACCAAAATTGCGTTTTTTCCTTCAGTTCTTGCTGTGGATATACTCTCTACTCAGAATCTGGGGTGCGTTTGGATCGGACGTTGAATAATTATTCATTTTTATAGGAGTGGCTTATTTTTCTTGTTATTTTATATTTATTTTTACTTGGTTTATACTATTGGGGTAAGGCTACAATCCCGTTACGGTACCATTCCGTTGGGATTTGTAACCGTTAGATCATCAAGTAACCGTTAATGATAATTGATCTAACGGTTACAAATCCAACGGAATGGTTCCGTAACGGGATTGTAGCATTTTCCTATACTATTGTCCCATTTCCACAACATAAATGACTCATTTTGTGTGTTCTAATTGGACAGGTGATACATCTCTGACAATTTTAACCTTGTCTGCTAAGCGAGGAAAATGGATTGGAGACTAGTGTGAGTTGGTCACATGCACGTGATAATGTATTGTGACATGCTATTCACTTAATCAAGAATGTATTTCATGCTCGAAGAAAGCATATTGATGTCCGTTCTCACTTTGTGCGGGAAATTTTAGAAGATGAAAATGTTGTTTTGAAAAAAATCAAGACGATGGAGAATCTTGCAGATATTTTGACAAAGCTAGTGACAACCGTCAAGTTTAAACATTGTTTAAACTTGATCAACACTCTGTATATTTGATGGTGTCGAAGGCGCATTTAGAGACACCGCGGACAATTGGATAGAGGAGTTGAAGTGGGAGCAAAATAGTCAAGGTGGAGAATGTTAATATGTAGGATCTTTTTAGTGTAAATAGGTCTCATGTTATTTTGTTATAAATGCACCTTGTTTTCTTCTCTTATATATTAGAAGGAAGTCTTAATTTGTAGGTTATTAATCCTAGTTGTATTTTGTTGGTGAATATAGTGTATTTGGCTTGCTTAGCGGTGCCCGGAGACATAAACAATGTTAGTTGAACTCCAGTTTTAATTTTGTGTGTTCTTTTCGTTTTGCGTCTTTTATTTGCTTTTGTTGACTTATTTTTGTCAATAGTAGTGTTTGTCCTTATTTATTGTGTGTATATATAATATATGTCCACTATGCTTATTGTGATACCAAACAACCTAGTGCCTAGGGTGTTGGATAGATGCCATGTAGCGCCCCGTTTATTTATGGATAATTCTAGGATTATTTATTATTATTTATTAATATTATTATTACCTAGTGTTTGTTATTAATATTATTGTCATTATTATTATTATTTTTATTATTGTTATTATTATTTTATTTAAATGCCTAATTGTGAAATAAATGTTTAATGTGTATTATTATTATAAATAATGTGTGAAATATATTTTATTATAATAGCCGAATTTTTGTTATAAAATATCGTGCGAACCGAGCCATTTTATATTGGCTAAATCAATCGAGAATAATCGAGCCCGAGAGAAACGTATGCTTTGAACCGAACTTATCTGGCCCAAACCCATGACCCGAAACCCGCCAAACCAGGCCCAGTCGGACAGATCTTTTCTCCCATGTGTTTCACGCGTTAAAAATCTTGGGAAGCCAGATAAAATTTTTGACCTAGCGTCTCGCTCGCTTCTCTCTCGCAACAGATACACGCCGCAACCATAAATCTCCTCTCCCTCACGTCGTCTCCCTCACAAATCTGTCGCCCTCGTTTGTATTCTCTTCCCTGTCGCTCAAAATCCGGACACCTTCATCTCTCTCTCTTAAACTCGCCGCTGCCATCACCATCCTCGCTAAGGAGCAGCATCCCGTCGCACAAGGAGAAGGGAAGAGACCTGCTCGTTTTTCGGCGCAACCTCTCTGCTCCTCGCCGTGCATCACCGCCCAGCACCTCCGTCGCGAAGGTCCCGCGCATCCACGCGCAGCGAACTCCGGCGACCCCTGTTTCGCGTTTTTCCGGCGAATCTGACTCTCCCGCGAGCAAGTCCACGAACATCCGACGTCGAACCTTCACAGTCCGCGAGCCCCGGCGACGAGACCACCTCTGGCCGTGATCCTTTCGACGACCAGCAACCTCCTAAGCGCTGTTCGAGATTTTTCCGGCGTCCCTCCATTCGAGCAGCACCTCGTTGAGCGGCCCTTCACGTCGGAGCATCTCAGCGGCAACCTTGGACGTCCGAGCAGCACCTCTGTCCACGCCCTCGAGCCGCTGACCTCCTCCGCGAGTCGAGCGAAGCCGCCGAGCTTTAGCCCGCGAGCTCGCCATTCTCTTTCGTTCCGTTTTCTGAGTTTTCCCGAGAACGGTACTTAGTCGATCCCGTCTCGTTTAACTCGTATATATGTTGTTTTCGTATTATGTTGATTCACGAGATGTGTTTCTTTGTGTTATAATGTATTCGATATGAGATTATGTGAAATTATGATTTTATGTGTCGTTTAAGTGTTCGGGGATCTCTTCAATTATGAGAAATTGAATGAGACCTCGAACTCGTGTAAGTCGGTGGATAATGGAACAATGTCGAGTCCTTGGCCTTATGAGAAGACCTCGGACGAGAAATTTCATAATTTGAATGATGTGTTAAGTTGTCGATTCCGGTAATCGCTGAATTAGTGTTTGAATTTTTAAAAATCGCACACTGCTCGGAACGACATGAAATTTTGAGGGATGTGTTATCTGTTCATAGTCTGCTTTGTGTAAACTTTTCATAAATTTTGGAGGCCTGTAGCTAGTTTTAATAATTAATTTGTATTCTGTCCAGAATATTGTTAAATGCATAATAAATTCATTCCTGACTGAAATGAGCTGAAATTCGAATATGTCATGCCTCTGTGTCTTATATGTGTTGTGTTAAATTTTCAGAATTTTTGGAGTTGAATTGGTATGGATAATATTTTATTTATTGATTCTGCAGAAGTGTTGTTTGAATTTTTAAAAATCGGTTACTACATGGAAAATTCTGAAATTATTCTGAGAGTCATATTTTAGGTGTTTGATCATGTTTGTAAAAGATGAGAATTTTTAGAGTCTGTTTTGTTTCAGTTTGGGTTTAAATTCGATAAACTGCTGTTGCTCGTCTGACTTTTTAAAAATAGCAGCAGTTATTATTTAAGGCTGAAATTTTTATAAGTGGACTTTAGCATGCTGTATGTGGTTGTGTAAAATTTTGAGGTTCAGATTCAGTCATTAAGTCCGAGTATGAATTAATGTGCCCATTTTGCTGATATACTGTTCGAATTTTATAAAATAGGGTATTTTGAGTTTAAAGCTGAAACTTTGTGGTTTTACATGTTGCTGGAAGATGAAATTTTGGGTAAATTTTCAGAGCTTAATTCGTAGGGTAGCTTGACCATCTATTTTCATGCGATTAAATGATTTCTATTTCCGAACATGATTTTTATGAAAGTTGGGAATCGACTTGCTTTTCGTTTTGATGTGAGTTTGACTTGGTCAATCCTTAGATGGATTTATGTGAACTCCCATATGTGGTTTGGTCGAGTTTAGTGCCGAGTCTTAGTGTTCCAACATCCACAGGACTTCACGAACTACTTAGTCGAAACAAGTTCGACTAGGTCTGTTTTGTGTTTTCCGATTTAGTCACGATATTGATTGTAGGATCTTGACATAATGTAGGTGTTTGAGGAGTCAAGCCTCAACCTACGACTATTCTGAATTACTGTCATCAGTCCGAATCCAGGTGGGTTGTTATTCTAAAATTATCTATGCATATGTGTGATTTAATTGTGTGGAAAATTTGGTATGATCTATGTATGCATGTGAACATGTAGCCTATCGATGTGAGCTGTTACGGCCGTCGGTACGGTTGTCCCCGTCGAGTTACGGTACGGTGCCCTTGTGTGGCAATCTCCTTTAAGTCCTGATATGGCCGTGCCCTTGTGAGGTACGTAAGCCCATATGGAAGGCCGTGTCCGTTACAGTGGCACGTACTCCCGCCTTCGGGTAATGAATCCCCGTTCTGCGGCTAGCGATAGATGTGCACATGAGTAAGGTTAAATGGTGTGATTTTGATTAGGAGATGAGACATGTTGTGATCATTGTTTATGTTCATGCTGCGACCATACCATTGTTATGTTATTCATATGCATAGTGTGAGTACGATATTTAACTGTACTCACTCCCACCTGCTCTTCACGGATGCAGGTTAAGCAGTTGGCGGGTGACGAGGCAAGACGAGTGGGTGGTCTTGCTTTTGTTTAAGACTGATATTTACTTCCGCATTTATGAACTTGTTATGGTTTATTTGATTATGTTTGAACTAGTGATTTTGGATAAGAGTTGAACGGATTTGAATACTTGGGTTTTATGCTGTTATTTATTGTTATTTTGAATCTTGACAAATGTGTTGGTTCATTTGATCTTCTTGTGTGTTGGATAAATTGCTCTTGGTAAATAAGTAGCGCCCTTTGAATTTTAAACTTAATCGAGATTTTTTAAAAAAAAAAAATTAACTCTGATTTTCATTAAATTAATTCGATAAATCTTTCAAAATAAAGTGGGGCGTTACAGTTTGGTATCAGAGCCAGTCTGCGTTTCTGTAGACTGGTTTATAGGTGATTATATGTTTAGATGTTGAATTATGACCACTCGTCTTCGTCACGCCGCGCTGCTTAAGGTATGTGTTTAAATAAGTATCGAGAAATACTTATGATGTTAAATGTGAAGTTTAAAATTTTTGCATAAGTAGAAATGAAACTGCTTATGATATGAATTGTTGATATTTGGGGCTTAGGATCTATCCACCTTTAATCAGATTGAACTCTAGTGTTTGATGTTGAACTCTAGTGATGTAGAGTTACGTTCGGACTCTAGAGGTTCCTCGTTATGAGTTTCAATATGTTGTTATCGAGATAGGTTATGCCCATAGCAGTTTCCCTTGCTATATAATTATATTCAATGTCTTCAAGTGAGGACCTGGTCAATGAGAACCGAGAATGTATTCTCCCTCTTCGGACCTTTGCCAGGTTTCGAAAATTATGAGATGAGTCAATATCTTATAGGCTGCCATTTTTATGGATGTTCATGGCCTCTGTTCAACCTCTGGTGTGTTATGTGTTTAATATCTCTTTCGCCTTAGTAAGGGTGAGTTCATGCTAGCTCGAAGCAT